TTTTTTTTACTCTTTACGGTGGCCAATTACGTTTTCAACTCAGTTGTTATCTCTAAATTACCTGCTATACTCTCCCACCGACGCAGCACCACAGTATCTTTAGAAACTTACCCTCTGTATTCATGGGGGTAAATATCCATCATTTTCATCGACACTGAGGTGATTAATTTGTTTCAGTATATATAGTATATCACACAAGAACCATAAACTTAGTTTATTTCTTTTAATATACCGAAAAATGGTGGGAATTCAATTCTTGTTGTTCAATTTTTTCTCATCATCTGTTCGGAGGTGAATGGTACTTGCCATTCAATTCTGAACTAGCCAATCAGCACATGAAAAAAAAAACCATTCACTGAATGTGTGTTATATAAATTGATTATAGCTGTTGAAATCATACAATGGGATTTTACTGCCGGCTGATACCTAGTATCTTAGTGTGTGAAATTGTAAGCAAAATATCAGCCAAGAAGAGTGCTTATCGCCACAGTTTTAGAGAACATTAATGTAGAACGACTCTTCTAAAGAGTTGCTTGATCACCACAAATGAAGCAGGAAGGAGTGGATATGAAGTCAAGAAGTTGCAAGCAGAAGACAGAAGCCTTTAACCCTTTAACTCCCAGATCAAATTTGTCATTCTCCTCACTGTCAACCATACAATTCTTATAATGTTAGTTCAGATAATTTAGTATTGGATCAACAAATTATGAATTTATATTTTTCGCTATTCTCATCACTTATCTGGTTGATATTGCATTGATATTGTAAGGAGAAATTCTGTCTCGGTCACTCTAAGGAGATGTTGAAAATGAACTTTGAGAAAACCTATAAAATTTTGACAACTATTTTACCCCTCTTATGATTTTCCATTTCAGTTTGAGCCTATTTTTGGCAAAACCACAGACTGAAAAACTAGTTGATTATAGTTTGAGTTCAAATGTGCACCATAGTTAGTTACTATCATATCAGTTACCATTTCTATAGGGCTTTGCAGTAAATCAGGGTATATGTTTTGAACTTGATATGTTGACTTCATTTGAAATACATTTTTGTTTCAATGTGTTGGTGTTGACCCCCAAATTTCTTCTGCTTCTGCTGCCCCCAGTTCTGTTTCGCCAGCAGTTAGTAGTCTCGTATTTTCAAAGAGCATCAGGTTTATTTTTCTGATGAGAGTGCTATATTCAGGCCTGAAATTATACTTCGGTTCATTTCCCCAGGGACATTGTGAGACAGTTTTGTGAATTCCCTGAGAATGATTTATCATCTGTGAATACTAAGCCCACTGCTCCTCATATTTCCTAACCAAACCCAAAGTGAGTTTAGGAGTATTTCAGCTTTCTCTGGGAACAACATATGCTTTGTGGTGTATCATAAAATGAAAAGGGGATATTTAAAAGTTTGGTTTTGCCATAGTGCCTGGAAGTGCATGCTAGAAATGATTGAAATTGCTTTGCATTGTGTCATACCGAAGAGTGTCATAGCTTATTGTTTTGCAAAAAATATTTCCCATTTTAATCACTGTCAATGGTTTTAGATGTTTTGTTACTCAAAGGAAATACCAAAGAAGAGACAAAAAAACAAAATAATTGAAGATGCAAAAAAAGAAAAAAAAAAAAAGAAGTGAAGAATGTCATAAAAGCCACTTTGCAGCATTCATTTTAACTTTGTCAGTCATGAGTTATGATAGTTGTGTTTTGATGCTAGTTTTGCCAAAGAGACCTCCTATTGATTAGCAGGGATAGTGGAGGGCATATTTATTTACTTAGTAACACTTCAAACCTGCTCCCATGCTGACACACCCCCATTTTTCCCAAAAATATTTCTTCCCAGTAAGGGTTTGACTGACATTGGAAAACATGAAAATTTTGTGAAAAGATTTAGAATTTACTTTTCTCCTTTCAAATTTTCAGGAATGTGGCTGACATCTGGAGGATCAATTTTGTATTACTTCATAATAATTATTCATAATAATTACTGACATTTTGATGAAAAATCTTTTTTTCCTGAAATATGATAACAAATTAATGCTAATTTTTCTGAAATTCTTATTTTAATACACTTTAATGTAAGATAATGTAGGGCCTTATTGCTATAAATACATGTAGAGGTAAAAAAATGAAAACACAGTGTGGTCAATTTCATGTATTTTTGGGGGCCATAGATGAGTTAAAAGATGCAAGATCAGTACTAATATATATGGCCTAAATGTAAATGAGTGAGCCATTGTTTTATATATGTTAGTGCATCTAGTTCAATCTGTTTCCTAAGGACTGTGAAAGGTGTTCACTGTAGTTTAGGGTAAAACTTTGGAGTCAAGGGAAAGATCATTTTCCTTGATGAAAATTGAATTAGTTGGTAGTGACAAAACTAATCAGTGATCGGTACAGCATTCTGTGCCACACAGCTTTGGTCCCATAACATCTACTTTGTCAGTTTTTCTAAGTCATTGCATAATCTGGTGACTGACATAATATGATATGTCTCTGTGTAGAACAGCCCACACATTACTCAAAGTTCTGTTAATAGACAGACATCTTCTGATTGGACATGGCACTACTGGATGTACTGAAAGAATGATACATAAGGGAACTTATAAGAAGCAATAAGCACATTTAGAGGTGCTCAAAAAAGCCATAAAGTTACATATATTGTTAAGTTCTATCAAAAAGGCACTAGATAGAGCTCTTTAGAGGATTCCATGCACAATCAAAATCCCTTGGTAAGATAACTCTTCTGCCAAAAGAGAACTAGTAGTAATAATAATGATAATAATAATGAGACTTTGATGATGTTCTTTTTGGGTCTGAGAGTCTGTGTCACCTCAGTATAAAAACCTGATCAAAGAAAATGGGTGGTGCTTGTGTTCTTTAGAGGGTAATTCTTTGAAATAAGACCTTCATAATGAGGACTCCCGAAGAGTCCCTTTACTTTGGTTCGGAGAACACACACCTTAATTCCTCTCAAAAAGGGAGAAAACAAAAGACTGGAAAAATTTTTTTAGCCATAAAGCACCTTAGGAGGTGCTCTAAAAAAGTCATAAAGATACTTACATTAAGAATTAATGTAAAGAATACAGTTTTTAACAAAGTACACTCTGAAATTCTTAGTATCACTCAGGCACTGTGTGTATCTGAATACACACAGTGTGTGTACTTTATGAAGAATTTGAGTGTGTAAACCATTAAAAGATGATTTTTTCGTTAATCTAAGTATCTTAATGGTTTTCTTGGGCACTTCTTCATGTGCCTCAGGACACAAAAAAACTTTTTTCCAGGTTCTGTGTTTTTACCTTCTTGTGAGGACTCAAGATGTGTGTTATACGAACCGACTTATGAGGACCATTAAAAAAGTCCTCACTATGATGGTCTTTTCTCTTATTACAACGTATTTATGAGGACTTTTTTGTGGGGACTTGAAAATGTCCCCACAATTTGAACAGACCCCACTTTGCTGGTGTGTATTCATATGAATGTCCCCATAGGTGTGCAAAGGTGCACGCACACACGCACACACACATAAGCAGTTAGGTTTTGCTTGTGTACCTCTTCAAAAAACCTTCGTTTGGCCATGCACGTTGCTTTAGTTTTATAACCACTTTAGAAATGCTGCGATGCAAACTTCCACGGAGTATGAGCTCCGTCATAGCAATACAGTATGAATCTTTTCTTGACGTAGTCTTGTTAACTATCGCCCATATTTCATTTCGTCTCTAAACAAAACAACACAAAACGAAACAAGACAAAAATGGACTAAAAAGCGAACCACCATTCGAAAACAAGACACACAAAACCACCAAGCAGGATATAGGGTTACAGGAATCAACCGCTCTTATGCTCAAAAAGCAATATCGAACTGAACCATGCTCCGATGAGAATATTTCAGTACATTTCCATCTTCGTTGTATCCTACGCTATTTAGGCTAGTAACAAAAAATGATAATAGAAATATTTTACATGGATATCAATAAATAAGAATTAGTAGTATTCATTGATAAGAAAGTGCAGAAACAGTGGCAATCCTCAAGATTGCTAGTTGCTGATATTCCTAAATGTGAATAAAAGTTCGAGAAAAAGCAATAAATTATCCATCAAACAAACAGTGAGTCAGTGTCAGTATGCATCATACTTCTCGCCTTAACATAGCCATTTCCCTTTTACGAAGATCACACGTGACGACTCGGCATCTTCTAACTTGTATAATGTGATTGTAATCTACAAGCATTTCACGCATTCGACACCATTTCTTTCTGCAACGCAATCCCAGAAAAAGCCGACACCTACCCCTAAAATAAGATATTAAGATAGAAAAAAAATAACTCCTTCAAGTTGGTTGGTCGCCTACATTGTAAGAAATATGTGGGACATAGACGACGCGCCTACGGCTTGGCTTGGCACATTTGATGTCATTGAGAATTTAACAAACATTAATAAATAACTCAATTCATATCCTTGTGTGAACTACTGCTGAAAGTTTGCACTATGTGAAAATCATCCTCTAGAGAAGGGCAACTAAGAGAGTTCATGTTTAGACAATTAGGCGTCATTGATTATGTAGTATTCATTTGACTGTGGATTTAATTGGGTCATTAACAGCATAAGGGGTTTTTACTTTTGAAGTTGCAATACAAATACCTAATTTTCATGAAACTGAAACATTTGGTACATAAATATGGGATGGAAACCAGAATCAGTAGCTCTAATGTAAGCGAAAGATCTTCCATACTCGAATGTTTTATCCTTTAAAAACCAGAAAACTGGTTCAAGTTCTTCAGTGTCGTATTCCAACGGCAAAGGCTCAACAATGGTTGATGGCGTAATCAGTTGAAGAGAATTAAGCCATCCTGAAACATAAGAAGAAACAATCCATGGCAATATTAATTGTTTTTATGCCTTGAAGCCTTTATTTCTAATGAAGTGCTAATTAAAAGCCTACTTAGTGGTCTACGGTACACTTGAACAAAATTACTGATCTTAAGAAAGCTTAAAGTACGATTCAGCTTCCTAATTAGAACTATCAAAAGCACGGTTTACGTGTACACAACTTGAACTAAACGAGAACTGAGTTACTTCTTGTCTAATGCCATTCATATCGTTTATCTCCTGCCTAAAGAACAGAATATACATTTTGGGCAAAAATAGACAACAAAGGAAGCCATAGGCGCTCAACAGAGTTGTTACACAGTCCACAACAGTTACATACCATCCATCCAAGGACAATTCTACCGGGTGATAACAAAGCAATGAGAAAAAAAATATGTACATGGAAAAAGCGATTCGTTTGGCCTCGCTGAAATTTTCAGGAATCTTCCTAATCTTAAAGGCACAGACCGAGGACACAAGCATTTGCAAGAAAATATAACAGCATGTTGCCAAGAATAGAGATTTTCCAAGTGAGCTGGAGTATGCCTTGCATTCGTTAAAGGTGTATTGTTTTGGATAGATATGTTGCATGTTAAAGGGTGGATCCAAAAGCAACCATGGCATCAACACCGACAACAGTGGAGCTAGAGATACTATAACAATCCCAACTTGAGCTTTGTTTGGAAAAGAAGTGAATTCCAAACTGGTCACAATGGGAACCTGAAAAGCGCTGGAAATAAGCAACACCTTAACCAATAAGATGGAGAGGCAGAAGTTATAGGTCAGATAACGTAACGGGTATATGATCATGCAAATTGCATCTGTGGTTTTAAGGACATCAATATATACTAGAGAGAATGATGCAAGAATTGTAAGTAAAAGAGAAAGGCTAAGCACCCTGTTAGATGCCTTGACGAGGGGACTATTCCAGAATTTGCAGATGGCAGTCAGACAAAACAATGTAATAACTACTCCGAACGTGCTAAACGTTAGAATCACAATTCCGGTTACACTTGCATAGTTTATGTTGGCAGAGGGTAAGGCGACACACTCTGTATTCGCTGGGTTAGACATTGTTTCGATGGGACATTCACTGCAGCTTTTAGAACCAACAGATGAGCTGATGGTCCCACCAAGACACGGAAGGCACTGCCAACAACAAGGTGAGGTAGAAGATTTCCTTGTTCCAGGAGGACACTGTTCCGAGCATTCAGATTTTGGAGGGCGACCAAACGGAGTCTTCCAATGAAAGTCTCCATGAAAATCTAACTTTGTTTTATTTTCATTTGAAATTATCCACTCTCCTACCAGCACCTTTTCAATGCTCTCAATATCTCCCACAGGTCCTTCTTTAAAGCTGAAAATGTCATAATGTGCCGAGCCTCTGTCACCAAATTGATCGAACTTGATCTTTCCTGTTAGTCCGTCAAAACTGACTCTCTGAAGTAGCTTCTGCATGCCCAAACTATTTGCGATGGGCGATTTGTCTAGAGTACCTGTATTGCTTGAGGTAAAATTTCGAGATGATATATCTATTGCATGGGCCAGGGCATATACGGCGTCGATGGTGTATGGAATAACGGAACTATAGATTTCTTTAATCAAGTCTTTAGAGCACTGCTCAATTTGATGATGAACACACTTCTTGCTCCTCAAAAGTTTCCATATCTCGCTTGTACTGTCGTTCCATTCAAGAAAACTTCTATTGTCTCTCTCCCTGACCAATATATCTTTTAAATATTCCTTGAAGCCAGAGTCGCTGAATTCATGCAACTGAAATCCTAAAGAGCTCTCGAGAATATCTTTTAGTGGCAGTGTAGAAGTTAAATGAGCCTCGCTCAAAATCCACACACGTCCAGTTAGGTTTTGCCTCTGAACCTCTGCGAAAAACTTCGTTTGGTAATTCTCGTATAACCATAGGATCACAACTTTGACATTTTCCATCTGTTTAAGCTTTTTAACTATGTTCCGAATACTCAGATTCAGACTTTCGAGGCGTATAAACTCCGTCAAAGCAATACAGAACGAGCTTTTTCTCCACGTACTTTCGGTAACTACTGCCCATGCTCCATTTTTTCCATACGAATCATCTAGTCCAACGACAGCAACATAACTCCAATTGAAGTGTGTAACCAAGTCAACCATCGCCTCTGCAAGAAAAGTATGCGAAGGCACTGTTCGAAATAAATGGTCATAGGTAAGTGAGCTAAGTTCAGCACTAGTAGCTGATCCACTTATGCTCGAAACATTGAGCATCCGGAGAAATCCACCAATGAATAGCGCTGTACTAGATTCGTACGGGCCTATTAAAGAAACGATGGCTTTCTTTCTTGTGGCATTTTGGCTTAAATTGACGCAAGAATCAACAGTTAAAAGTTTGTAAACAAGTCTTGCAGCTTTTGAGAGGTTTCCACAGTAATCCCTTATGTCGTATCCAAGGGAAATATTCGAAAGAATACTTGTGTCGTTGTTTATTCGTTCGATTGCGAAGATCATGGCCTGCATGCGACCAATTCCTCTCAAATGTACCTCTTCAAATCTGCTCCCCGGCTGGTGCACGCTGAAAAGTCCACCCAGCATAATATCGCCTTCTCTGTATGGAGCCTGAACAGCAGCATAGAAGCAGAAGAAAAGAAACAACTGGTAGTGCAACGAACTCATAGCAATACTCTTCTTTCCTCTTTTTCCTTGTTGGTGAAGCCAACGCATAGACATTAGTTTTTTGTACTTACGTGTATTTCGCACATATGGTAGTGATCAGTGACTTTTTATGTTAATTTCAATTCAGAAACCTTGTGAGCTTCTAGCTCTCTGGTTTTATCTATATGTTATAAATTAATGGTGACCATACGCTGGGAGTGTTTAAATTTAAAACGATCGCGGACTTTGTAACGCCAGCTTTATGACAAGACAAATTAAAAACATCTCTCTTAATTTCTTATTTCTCTTGTTATTTTTTTCTCTTTCTCCCTCTCAATTTTTTTAACAAGTTACCATATATATTGGAAATAGCGAGAGAAAAACAAAACCATGCCTTTGTCTGCCTTTCTAACAAAAAAAAATAGCTTAACAGTTGACGCAGTTGTTAAATGGACCTACTTCTTCAATTACAACGCAATTTTTTTACAGATTAATTTTTCTGAACTTGATAATAATTTACATGTTAATTGAAAGGTACCTTCTTATCAACAGTGTTAAAATAACTTCAATAAAATAATTAAACATTTCACTAAATTATAATACAGGAAGTTAATTAGAACATCACTCCGTCCGGATGTCACCATATGTTTTTCAAAACTATTTTTTCTTATTTTGCCATCGGACAAGCTAACTAGACCTTCCGCTGGTCAAACCATCCCAGAAACATTGCAAAAACAATCCGTTGCACTATGTAGTGTTTTGAGACCTCGATTCCTACTCGAAGTTTTCAACGGTTTAGTTATAAATATATTTGCAATTAAGTGTCCGTTAGAAAAATGACACACAAACACACACAGACAGTTAGGTTTTGCCTGTGCACCTCTTAAAAAAACTTCGTTTGGTAATGCGCGTTGCACCGCGACATTACAACTTTGATTTTGTGCATCTGCTTTAGTTTTATAACCACTTTGGAATTGCTGTGATGTAGACTTCCACGGAGTATAAGGTCCGTCATAGCAATTCAGAATTAACTTTTTCTTGACGTAGTCTTGTTAACTAAAATCCATATTCCATTTCGTCCATAAACAAAACAACGCAAACGAAACGAGACAAATATGGACTAAAAAGCGAACCAACATTCAAAAACAAGACACGTAAAACCACCAGGCAGGGTTACAGGGTTACAGGAATCAAATGATGTTATGTTTAAAAGCAATATCGAACTAAACCACAAACGTGAAGCACACCTGGAAGCAGAAATTTTAAAAACACGACGTGTTTCCATGAGAATTTTTCAGTTCATTTCCATCTTCGTTGTATCCTACGCTATTCAGGCTAGTAACGCAAAATGATCATAGAAATAATTTACATGATATAATACATATCAATAAATAAGAATTAGTAGTATTCTTTGATAACGAAGAGCAGCAATAGGAGCAAATGCTCTAGATTGCCAACTGCTGATATTTCTGAATGTGAAAAAAAGATCGAGAAAAATATGTTATCCGCCAAACACACAGAGAATCAGTGTTAGTATCCATCAGACTTCTCGCCTTAACATATCCATTTCCCTTTTATTAAGATCACACGTGACGAGTTGGCATCTCCTAACTTATATAATGTGATTGTAATCTTCAAGCATTTCACGCACTCGACACCATTTCTTTTTGTAACGCAATTCCCCCAAAAAACGCCACCTACCCAGGATAAAATACAATATTAAGATAAAAGATATAAAGTAGCCTCTTCAAGTTGGTTGGTCGCCTACATTGTAAGGTAATATGTGGGACAAAGACGACGCACCTACGGCTTGGCCTGGCACATTTCATGTCATTGAGGATTTAAGATTTAATTAACATTTTTAATTTAACATTTAATAAAAAAAACTCAATTCATATCCTTGGGCCAACTGCTGCTGAAAGTATGCATTATGTGAAAATCATCCTCTAGAGAATTTCGAAGGGCAACCAAAAGAGTTCATGTTTAGACATTTAGGCTCAATTTATTATGTAGTGTTCATTTGACAGTGGATTTAATTGGGTCATTAACAGCATAAGAGGTTTTATTTTTGAATAATATTGAATGGAAACCAGAATACTTCGCTCTAATGTAAACGAGAGATGTTCCATACTTACATGTTTTATCCTTAAGGAATCAGAGAACTGGTCCAATGGCAATTGTGTATCCTTGACCATGTAGTTGTCTTCCCTCATGTAGTAAAATATATGCCGCAGAGTCTTGTGGACAACTTTCCGAAAGTTATTCGCCAAATTAACTCTGCTGAGCAGAATGTTCTCTTAATTGGATCAGGTATCTTAAGGCTGGCGGCAAATTCATCACAATTTGTAAATGCCACGTCTCAAGAACACCGCTGTATAAATTCACGGTGAAAGAGCAAGGACGCTTCGAATAATGTAGAACCTTGTGGAGAGATCAAGTATATTTTTTAACGACACAACCAAACTACTTCAAACTCCCCCTCCACTAAGGCTTATACAGTTCAACTATCTACGCATCTTCCCAAAAGCCCATGTCTTTTAATTAGCCAGGCCAGGAACATATGCTGCGGAAACAAGTTTAGCTGCTAAGAAACTTGACAATGCCTTTCCTTGCATGACGCAAATTAAGCCTCCTGAAAATGTTTTTTACGGCTTTGCCACTATGAAATAAATGTTGACTAGTCTCCGTCGCTCCTGATCAATGTGTCTTAAGAACTGGCACCGTCAACAATGGCCGACGGCAAACTCAAAATAGAAGAGACTTAAGCAGGTCCCAAAATAGGAGAGGGAGTTTATTGGAGGAGGTGATAAAGTTACTTCTTAGCTTGTGTGAAGGTAGGAAAGTTTGTCTAATGCAGTTTTTGAGGAGTTCCTGGTATGATGTCGTAAAGGAAGATTAAAAATACAAATGAAAATGTAGAGTCACCCTATTATTCAACGCACACCTGGCTATTTGTCTTCCGGAAGTGCAATTCTTCCTTGCTTAACCATTATTACATGCCTACTCAAAGATCAAGTTATAGATACTTTTGCAATATAGTGTCAATTAATAACATGAATCTTCCTCAATCATAGATTCAATTTTTTTATTTACGAACATGTAGAAGTCTCTGACACACTCAAAATAACAAAATAATCTTATGAAAGCCTATTATACGACTCAGCTTCCTAATTGGAACTACCAAAAGCAGGGTTTACGCGAACACAACTTGAATGAACTAAACGGGAACTGATTGACTTCTTGTCTGATGCCATTCGCATCGCCGGTTTATCTCCTTCCCAATTCATGATCAGAAAGTCTTATTTTCGTTACTGCTCAAGTGGTGTTTATAGCAGCGAATATCGCTCTCATCCCCATGCAGTTTAATGATCTAAGCATCTGCCCAAAGGCCTGGCTAAACTTGGAAACATCACTGCAGAGGCAAAATGTTTCCTAATTAGCTACGCAAGAAGCATACGTTGTGGAAATAAGTTTTGCTGCTAAGAAATAAGACAAGGCTTTTGCCTCAGGTCATAAATGGTTTTTGCTTCTAAGCCACAAATTACGGTCTCGTAAAAAAATTTTACCCGGGTTAGCCAAAATGAAAGCAACGTAGGCTAGTTTCCAGCGTTGTTAATCAATAATGTGTCGTATTTGAACGGCGAAGGCTCATCAATAGTTGATGGCGAAGTCAGTTGAAGAGAATTATGCCATCCTGGAAAATAATAAGAAAAAATCCATGGCAATATTAAGTGTTTTTATGCCTTGAAGCCTATATAATACAGTGTAAATTAAATTTTCTTTAAGGATGGATTTACATTTCACTTACTAAGAAGTCTATGGCACACTGGAACAAAATTACTGATCTTAAGAAAGCTTATAGTACGATTCAGCTTCCTAATTAGAACTATCAAAAGCAGGGTTTACGCGTTCACAACCTGAACTAACCGAGAACTGAGTTACTTCTTGTCTGATGCCATTCGCATCGTTCATCTCCTGCCTGAAGAACAGAATATACATTTTGGGCAAAAATAGACAACAAAGGAAACCATAGGCGCTCAACAAAGTTGTTACACAGTCCACAACAGTTACATACCATCCATCCAAGGATAATTCTACCGGGTGATAACAAAGCAATGAGAACAAAAAGATGTACATGGAAAAGGCGATTCGTTTGGCCTCGTTGAAATTTTCAGGAATGTTCCTAATCTTAAAGGCACAGAATGTGGACAAAAGCATTTGGAAGAAAATGTAAAAACATGTTACTAAGAATAGAGATTTTCCAAGTGAGCTGGAGTATGCCTTGCATTCGTTAAAGGTGTAACGTTTTGGATAGATATGTTGCATGTTAAAGGGTGAATCCAAAAGCAACCATGGCATCAGCACCGACAACAGTGGAGCTAGAGATGCTATAACAATCCCAACTTGAGCTTTGTTTGGAAGAGAAGTGAATTCCAAACTGGTCATAATTGGAACCCGAAAAGCACTGGAAATACGCAACACCTTAACCAATAAGACGGAGAGGCAGAAGTTATAGGTCAGATAACGTAACGGGTATATGATCATGCAATTTGGATTCGTGGATATAAAGATATTAATGAATACTAAAGACAATAAGGACAAAATTGTGAGTAAAAGAACAAGGTTTAGTTCTCGATTGGAAACCTTGACAATGGGACTATTCCAGAATTTATAGAGAGTTGCCAGACAAAGTAACGTAACGAGTACACCGAGGGTAGCAAAGGTAAGAATTAAAATTCCACTTGCACTACCATAATTTAAATTAGCGGAGGGTAAGGCGACACACTCTGTTTTAGCCTGGTTGGATATTTTTCCGATGGGGCATTCACTGCAGCTTTCAGAACCAGCAGATGGGCTGATGGTTCCACCAAGACACGGAAGGCACTGCCAACAACAAGGAGAGGTAAAAGATTTCCTTGTTCCAGGAGGACACTGTTCCGAGCATTCAGATGTAGGAGGGCGACCAGATTTAGTCGTCCAATTCAGGGCTTCATGAAAAATCAAGCGAGTTTCGTTCCTCTTTGAATTTTTCCATTCTCCTATCAGCACCATTTTTACACTCTCGACATCTCCATTGGGTACATTTTTAAAGCTGAAAATGTCGTAATACGCCGAACCCCTGTTACCAAATCGATCGAACTTGATTTTTCCAGTCAGTCCGTCAAAATTTACTCTGCCAAGAAGCTTCTGCACTTCAAAACTATTGGCTATCTGCAATTTCGCCCGATCTTTGGTCTCGTTATTGCTAAAATTTCGATTGAAAATATCTACCGCATGTGCCACGGCATATACGGCGTCGATGATGTACGGAACATAGGAGCTGTAGCTTTCTGTAATCAAGTTGTTAGAGCACTGCTCGATTTGGCGATGAACACACTTCTTGCTCCTCAAAAGCTTCCATATTTCGCTTGTACTGTAGTTCCATTCAGAAAAACTTCTATTGTCTCTCCCTCTGACCAATATGTCTTTTAAATATTCCTTGAAGCCAAAGTCGCTGAATTCGTGCAATTGAAATCCCAAAGAGCTCTCGAGAATACCTTCTATTGGCAGTGTGGAAGTTAGAGGAGCACTGCTGAAAATCCACACACGTCCAGTTAGGTTTTGCTTCTGAACCTCTGCTAAAAACTTCGTTCGATAATTTTTGTATAACCATAAGATCACAACTTTGACATTGTCCATCTGTTTAAGCTTTCTAACTATCTTCGAAATACTCAAATTCAGACTTTCGTGGCGTACGAACTGCGTCAAGGCAATGCAGAACGAGCTTTTTCTTGACGTACTTTCGCTAACTACTGCCCATGCTCCATTTCGTCCATACGAATCATCTAGTGCAACGACAGCAACATAACTCCAATTGAAGTGTGTAACCAAGTCAACCATCGCTTTTGCAAGAAAAGTATCCGAAGGCACTGTTCGAAATAAATGGTCATAGGTAAGTGAGCTAAGTTCAGCACTAGTAGCTGATCCACTTATGCTCGAAACATTGAGCATCCGTAGAAATCCAGCAATAAATAGCGCTGTGCTAGATTCCTTTGGGCCTATTAAAGAAACGATGGCTTTCTTTCTTGTGGCATTTTGGCTTAAATTGACACAAGAATTAACAGTTAAAAGTTTGTAAACAAGTCCTGCAGCTTTTGAGAGGTTTCCACAATAATCCCTTATGTCATATCCTAGGGAAATATTCGTAAGAAGACTTGTGTCGTTGTTTATTCGTTCGATTGCGAAGATCATAGCCTGCATGGAACCAAGTCCTGTCAAATATATCTCTCCACATTGTCTCCCTGGCTGGTCTGGTGGCTGGTGTACGTTGAAAAGTCCGCCCAACATGATATCGCCGTCTCTGTATGGAGCCTGAACAGCAGTATAGAAGCAGAAGAAAAGAAACAACTGGTAGTGCAACGAACTCATAGCAATACACGTCTTTTGCTTTTTTACTTGTTAGTGAACCCAACGCATAGACATTAATTATTTGTACGTAGGTGTATTTTGAACATAAGGTAGTGATCAGTGACTTTTTATGTTAATTTCAATTCAGAAACCTGAAGTTTTACTCTACAAACAACAGCCAATTGTTATCACTTGTGAGCGTCTAGCTCGCTGGTTTATCTATATATAATAAATTAATGGTAACCACATGTAGGGGGTGGTTAAAAATGAAAACGATCTCGGAGATTGTAATGCTGGCTTTATGCAAAACAAATTAAAACCATCGCTCCTAACTTTTCATTTTGTCTTGTTTTTTTTCGCTTTCTCCCTCTCAATTTTTTTAAGAAGTTACCACATTGGAAAGAACGGAAGAAAAACAGAAGCATACCTTTGTTTGCTTTTCTAATTAAAAACTAGCCTAACAGTTTGACGCAGTTGTTAAATGGAGCCGTTGCGCGGCGAATAAAGAGACAAAAATAATAATATATCTATCTAGAACCTACTTTCTAAATTACGACACAATTTTTTTAAAGATTAATTTTTCTGAACTTGACAATAATTTGCATATTAATTCAAACTTACCTTCTTACCAACAGTGTGAAAATAACTTCCAATAAAATAAATAAATATTTCACTAAATTAGAAGACAGGAAGTTAATTAGAACATCACTCTGCCCGGATGTCACCATATGTTTTTCAAAACAACGTTTTCTTATTTTGCCATCGGAGAAGCTATCTAGACCTTCCGCTGGTCAAACCTTCTCAGAAACATAACAAAAAAACAATCCGTAGCACTATCTAGTGTTTTGAGACCTCGTTTCTTACTCAAAGGTTTCAACGGTTTAGCTTTAAATATATTTGCAATGTAGTGTCCGTTAGAAAAATGAATTTTCCTCAATAATAAATTAACTTTCGTTTATTTACAAGTCTCACACACACACACACACAGACACAAAGCAGATGTTTTTGTGAAGTCGACGTTTTGAATTTCCGTAGATTGCACTTCACTGGAAATAATTGTCAATTTCATGTCTTAAACGGCGATGGAAAATCAACCGTCACGTTAAAAGAAGTTTAAGGCTTAACACAAGATTGGCAGATTGGAAGAAGCAGGCGAAACTGTTTTTGATACTTACATTGAAAATACTTGAAAAATACGTAAACTGGAACAAATGTACGCATAGGTCAGTGTTTTTATGTGTAACTTAGTATGATCAACCGAGTAGATGACGTAAATTGGCCACCGTAATGAGTTTGGAGGCTGACGTTTCGAACGTTAGCCCTTCGTTAGAGCGAATGGCCAAGGGCTAACGCTCGAAACGTCTGCTTCGAAACTCTTTACGGTGGCCAATTTACGTTAACAACTCGGTTGATCATACTAACTTACCCTCTTATTCTCTCTTATTGACGCAGCACCACAGTTTCCTTGGAAACTTACCCCTTTATAAATGTTTTTATGGTTTTAGTTAATATACTGTGTCGAAAAAACCGATCAGTCCATACTGATGGTTATTTTTAGTCCGGGAAGATGTAGGGACTTCAGAACCCTACAAGTTCAATTTTGTCTTCACAATTGTTGGTTTTTTTTTGTTGTTGTCGTTGTCAAAATGGAGACAGTCAATCCAAATAAATATTGTGTATAAAATCATGGATAAAAATCGCTCGCACCCACTTTTCATGGCATAAATCTCCATTTAACCTATAAACTATATGGGCGAGTGCACGTTTCTTCTAAAAAATGGACGAAAATCAGTGATTCAAGAAAACCAGAATTATTGTGAATACGAGAACTACTGTCGATGACTAAACATTGGAAACAGACAACCCAAGCTAAAAGCTTGGAGTTTGCTTGTTTATTTGTTTCATGGTTGTTGATTTGTTGATTTTGCTTGATTTGTTCCTATTGTTTTGATTGTGGTTTTTGTGGTATTTTGTCCTTTTTAATATTATTTTATTGTTGTTTTTGTCTTGGTTTGCTGCTTTTGTTTGACACAGCAGTGTACTGTACCTTGCGCATTAGTCAGGAAGCCAATCTTCAGGAGAAACAGGCAAACGATTCTTGCTATCCGTGACGTCATCTTCGTGGAAGATTACCGCGCTGTACTTTACGCCTGTGTTGAGAAGGAAACACCGGGCGGTTTTAAAACACAATTGATTTCCTGATTAATCTTTCAGAACGATTTCAAATCAAGGTTCGGTAGAAAAGGAGTTGAAATCACAGAGCAAAAGAAAACCAATGAAAGACACGGGGCAATGGTAGATGAGTAACTTGTGCAGCCATAGGTGGCCCAAGCTCCAGCTGTGAGATGATCATCTTGCGAAGTAACAGTCATGGCCGAATTATAAGAGTTTGTATGGGAATATTTACGACCGCTCTTAGAAATAAAAAAATACGTCAAATTCTCGACAAAAATACTTCACCTTACTTCCACAGTGCATCGCTTGTTATCTGACTACTTACTATGTTGAAGGGAACCCATGTTAGCGAGTTATCAATTTCGAAGTTTTCTAAAGGGCTTTTCTGATGTACGTAGAAAACCTCGTAAAGGATAACTCGCTAACGTGGGTTCTCCTCAACGTATCCCTTGCACTCTCCCTCGCCTGTTACTTTTTGTGTCCAGATTACAAAGACAGTACCATATAGTCTCCGAGACCAATGAATATTTAATGCCTGCGCGGGGGGAGGGAGGTTTACTTATCCAACAGTTTTTCAAAGGCGAGCCTTAAAAATCCCCACCAAATGCATGTTGTACATCTTCTGTACCCTTAACTCCTGAGGGTGACCAAGACACAATTTCTCTCTACAACATTTAAACAGTAACAAGCAGGCAAGGCGTAAGGATAAAGAAAAATATCAATAAGGAATTATTAGTTGATCTAATACCAAATTCTCTGACCTAATTATACCATCACAAGAATTACATTGTAAGTCAGCCATTAAGGAGAATTACTACGGAGATCTTGGAGTGAAAAGGTTAAAGCTAACTCTCCCAGCATACGTTGCTTTGTTTTGTACTTATGAGAAGCTTGTTCTGAATCATAAACAATGACTTACTGTAGTTGATGAGTTCCTTACTTTTGGTATCACCAGTGTAAGGAAATTGAGATAATGATCTCACTTGCGAGAGAAAGACTAATTCCAAAGGTAATCATTTCCATCATGAAATGAGTCTTGTCCGTACCCTTTTACCCTCCTCTCAGTGATGTTTAATTCACAAAGCAGATGTGATTCCATTGTGAGACAATCAATACAAATTAAATATTCTTGTATTTTAGACTGGAACTATTAATTTTTTTACCAAATGACTTTTTTGCTACGCAATAGCTGAAATTAAAAAACCTGCATCAAACAGCAATGCTTATATTTTAATCAGAAAAGCAAACGAGACATGATTCTGATTAATTTCGCTGTTTCGAAAGAGAAAAAACCAACTCTATTGGGCGTGTATAGTTTCCTTTGTTGCGTATTTTACGATGCAATTTAAGCTAAACATTGAAAGTTGTGAGGAAGCTGATGAGAAAGAAATGTTTCCTGAAAACAAAATTATCAACGCGCTGAAGCGTAACAGAGGGAATATTAACCCTTTTACAACATTTAAACAATCGGGTTGAAAATGATCTGGTAATTTCTCTCTCGATAACAGTGCTTTGGACGTGTTGGCTGATCGTCCGTGTGAAAGAAGTCCTCAAAAGGGACTGTTGTCGTTGCGGTATTCGATGTTTCGAGTGCGTGAAAGAAGGTCATCATAGAAGCCCATATTGTCAAAACGACAAGTCCTATCATCGCAAAGGAGAACCTTGGAACCAGATATTTTCCCGTCCGGCCCGACCTGAATCATTCAATAAGCATTTTTCCATATCTTCCCCTTGGTCCACCTTCCTAAGATTTGGATACACAGGGTGGGAAGGTTTTCCTGCTCTTGCTCGCGCCATCGCCTTCGGCCCTCATACGGGGATGTTTACATTGTGTTTTTACATGGAACGTATGCGGGGCCTTGCGGGTCATGTGACGATAAATCTTAGCCTTACACTTCCTTGACCTAGTCCTTAGTTTTCTCTCCTGGTTGTTACAGACTTCCTTAGAGATTTGTTATAAATAATGAATAAGGTGTTTTGTATAGGTAATCACATGAGGCCAAGTACTATTAAGGATTAATTGCACGAGAGTTTTCAAAATTTTCCAAAATTGCCCGAGTCGCGAAGCGACGAGGGCAATTTGGAAAATTTTGAAAACTCAAGTGCAATTAATCCTTAATAGTACGAGGTCTCATGGGATTACTTGTTTATCAATAAAGGGCAAAATTTATACGAAGGAAAATCACGCGCGCAGTCTATTTTTATCTGGGAAGCAACGGATTAGCAATGCAACGGATTAGCCAATCATTAACAGGTAATCATGCCCTCTCTTGATTACTAAAAATGCCCTCGATTAAGAAAAAAATGCCCTCTCTCTCAACCAATCAGCGCTCAGTAATTTTGCCCTTTATTGATAAATAAAGGAAACACCATCTACTGAACTTATTAGATTGCCAATTCTCGCAAACTTCTGGCTAGATAATACATTTCTATTGTTATGACAACTAATGTGATAATGAGTCCAGGGAGTTAGGATGTTAACCCCCACACTGTGCTATCAAGCCATACGTGATTAGATTAAAAATGTGTATTTTTATCTCCTTTTCCTTCATCCTTCCCTTCTTGGTCATTGTCTAAAGGAAGTTGTCCGTCAAACTGGACGGGACTCGCGGGCTCCAGGACTGGTTGTGAGCTCTGCGTTGCTGTTTCAGGATCGGACAAAAATTCTTCTGGTATTCGACGGAAGGATGTTTCGTCATAAGGAGTATCGTCTTCTTCTTCGTCTCCTTCCTCTGCCATTTCGCCTTCGAGCTCCAAGTAGTCCTACGAAACAATAACAACAGGCAATGAGGTGTTTAACAGGCAACGTACTACAAACGAAAAAAAAACCAACAACAACAAAAAAACGCAGTAACACAAAATGGTTTTTGGACGGGAGTCGAGGAAAAGGAAAAGACGTGAATCTATAAGGGGAACACTGAGAAGAAGTAGAACGATAAGCTATGATACGATAATTAACTGTTACTCAAAAACAACCAAATCGATGAAATAGCGCGGATATTGAAATGGGATAAGTACTCATAACAATTAATCCTTAAGTTTGCCGCTGCCACACTTCAGCTATTAATGAAGTAATCTCAAAATCAAGGTCAAAGATGTTTACTTAAAATGTTGCTCATAAATTGAGTAACTTTTCAGGTTCATACGTTCATACGTGCGCATGCTCTATAATTATGACTTACACTATCCTCCAATAACATTCTTTCGGTGAGCTTAACAATATCCTCGAAAGTTGGCCTTTCCTTTGGGTCAGCGTGCCAGCAATTTGTCATGATTTCATATCTGAAAAGCGATTGAAATAAGTTCAACTTATTTTAAAATGAACGAAAAGCATAGATGTAAGCTTGAAAAAAACAGAATCGATCTTCAAATTGCCAATCACAGCCTCAAATTGTGCCTAATAACTTAATAACACTCAGTTACATCAAGAGTTTGAGACTAGCCGGGAGAAAATGAACCATTAAAACTCTCCCATTATTATGCAAATATAATTTTCTTTAATATTCCTACTATTAAGATTTAACGATTACAGGAAAGGTGACGTCAGCTACCCAGGAATAATACAGCAAAAAGCATGCTCTCAAGTCGCTAGACTCCTCTAAGAATAAGTGTTAACTGGCCCATTAAGTTAGCAGTTAGCAGCCATGGAGAGCCAGGCTGACGAAGTCTGACGAGACGAAAAAATCTCTCTTAGTCTTGGTAGTCTACTCAGTCAGCCAGCCAGCTGACCGGCAAGGAGCCTGCAACCAGACTCTGAATGGGCCTGGGACAGAAGCTGTGAAGCACGCAGGTACGAGCTGGCAAAAGATGCGAACGCGTGAGAGTCTTATACTCAATTTTAGTGCCAGACTGCTAACAGACTCACCGTACACTCGTTTCGCTCACCCAATCAATTCTGGCTGGCTTAGCCGCGCATACCGCAGCGCTAATAAGAGGCTGGAGGCAGACCAACCATCCAGCGGTCACCACAGATGATGACACCTTTGCGTCCTTTAGTTATTTAACTATTAAGCCCAAGTTTTCAGCGATTCCAGTTTATATTGGAGTGAGTTAAAAGAAAACAGCAGAATTCCTCACAAATGTTATTTCACGTACATTTCATCAGTGCATCTCTCAGGTCTTGACAACCTTTCTCCTCTTCTCAAAGCTTCAACAATCTCCTGTCCTCCCAAAGCAGCATACGGGACATTGGCTTCAAAAGAGACAGACAAAAGGCAAAAAAAAAAGAAGATTTTAAATTTGTTTTGATGTGTCTTCATAAGGACTGAGAGTAAATTTGAGAGACTGATATTTAAAACAAACAAACAAATAAAAAACAAAACAAAATCAAAACAAAAAAACATAAAAAACTTAGAAAGCCAATGCAACAATTGACAAGAAAAAAGATGGACAATAAACAAAAAAGAATAAATAAATATGTACAGATTGTAAATAAATAAAAAATAAACAGATAAAATGTGTCCCTTTAAACCATTGCACATCGCTAAGAATTACTTTTTCGTTCCCCTTCATTGTAATCTCAAAATGTTTTTCATCCTTGGGCTTGAAAAAACGGATACAAATATTAACCCTTTAAACCCTAAGAGTGACTAGTATCTAATTTCTCCCTACAATTTCACTTCTGAATCACACATTAAGGTCATGAGAATAGAGGAAATGATCACCAGGGAAGGAACCTTTTGATTGGCAAACAAATTCTCCTTGTCAGCATCTCAGGAAATGTATAAAGAACAGTGTGGAAAAAATGCATACTGATATTATGGTGTAAAGGGTTAGCCATAAACAAGAAGCCAATGCAACTCACCACCAGTTTCAATCTCCCACAAAACAACACCGTATGCCCATCTGGTTTAAGAAAAAAATAAATAAATAGTTTATCAAACACGACACTTTCGAAATTATTGTCGGTCAGTGTTACACATGGAATTACTGCGTGAAGTATCACTTAGCTTACCACTCACTTTAGCACAATGGTAGAGCATTGCATTGCGAAATCCGTAAGCGTGATGTTCTATGTCTCTTGGCAGATTCATTTTTTTTTCTGTGCCCCGCTCGTGAAAAATGAACGAAGTTTTATCTCTCAGGAAGATAGCAGTCTGTATAGCTTTTAGCCATAAAATACTTACACATCACTCTCAGAAGTATAGGAGTAGTCTTGCAGTGATTCCAAAGCCATCCACCTGACCGGAAGTTTACCCTGCATTAGGTAAAAGATAATTCTAAAATAACTTGAAACTACATTCAACTCTTTTAGGACACAGAATACCTGTCTGCGGAATTAACTCGCACCAGTTACATGCCAAGGTCTACAAATCAAAGCAGCTGATAAATTCATATACTTTTATCACATATTGTTATTTACCTAGACTTTTACTCAGCAAAACGAGCACTGCGATTAATTGATTCTTGGTCACGTGCCCCTGATCAAATAATTCAAAGGTATCCCGACTGGGATACAATTGCGCAGTTGTTACCCGCGCGCCGAATACAACAGCATGTTTTTGCTATATGATTGTTTAAGGGAAAGTCTAAATATATAACAAAGCACTTAAGGTATGGTCTCTCGGGAAACTAACTAGTTATTTATGTTTTGTTATTATTTATGTTATTTTTATTTTGTCCTGATGTTTCGTCTCGGGAAACATCAGGACTCTCGGGAAAACAAAACCAACCGTTTCCCTCTGGACCATATGTTTAGTGTATATTGTAAAACACAACTGCAAGATTAGACAACATCAGTTTAGTAAGTAAGATGCATGGATCGGGTCTTACCCCGGTTGTAGTTTCGTACGCCCCACTTTCATAGATATCACGAGCGAGTCCGAAGTCTGCCACCATCGGTATGCGGTTCTTTCCTAAAAGCACGTTTCTGCAGGCAAGGTCCCGATGTACACACTAAAGAGAAAATTCAAAGGATATCTTTTATCTACGAAAATTTTCGAGTTTTATTTTCATTGAGCCCCGAGAAGATGACACTCTACCAGAAAATGTAGAAAGAGGAATCCAGAAAGACTAACAGGTTCAACATACAACTTCATAATTTCAACTTTAACGAGCCTTGGTTTTGAAGCTAGGACGCCTTTATCACTTGTTTTAAGAAGGGTGATTAACATATTACCTCAATTCCTCAGAGCGATTGACTCGAAGAGGTTACATTGAGGACATTTGTTTGGGGAAAACGTTAGGAATCCATGGTGGAACCTTATCTATTTGCATTCTTTTCTTCCTTGAATCTATATTGAAAAAACGTTAGGAATCCATGGTGGACCCGTATCTATTTGCATTCTTTTCTTCCTTGAATCTATATTGTCGTTTCTGTAGCAGAACTTTATTGTAGCAAGAGAAAAACCTTAAAAAGTCTACAGAAGGGGTATAGAAAAGAGAAATTGCCAGACCACTCTTAAATTCGCCTCTCCCTCTTAAAAAAGGCTTCAAAAATACACCCAATAAATTACCAACTGATAAAAACTTTGTGACTCAAATGGAATGCTTACGAATCTTATCATGGTGGTTTTCCTACCTTCATTTTTGCCAAGTGATTCATTCCCTTCGCAATGCCGTACGCGAAGCGAGTTTTTTCAGCATTGGTTATTCCTTTGGACTCCTCCTGCTCAGTATCCTTGTTTTTTAAGTTGACGTAATTAGGGTCTTTGAAGTTCTCTTCTCTGTGCTTCCGAAGGTAATCCAGCAAGCAGCCGTTTTCAGCAAACTTAACTACTACCCACAGAGGACCTGTGGAAGAAACAAACGATGCGAGATCGGGACGTGAGGATTACGTTTACCCCTTGACCGATTGCGCAAAAAAGGTTCTACCCAACGGCTTTTTTTTGGTCTTAAAGGAGCTTCCATCACAAACCTACTTTCTCTCTTTGCTTCCATATATAGCGAACCACAGCCAAACTACAGGATGATGGCGTCAGGGAGCATTGAAATAGAATCTCATTGTCTTTTCGCTGGTATGTACAACGAAATGTTGTCGTTATATAAGCACCATATTGGGATCTACTACCACTATTCAGGCACTTTGGTATATTATTTGACTACAAGTGTCGATGGGGGCGTTACCTGACAATCACATTCCATGTTGTTAGGTAAAAGATCACAGATGAAGTCAAAATGTGGTTAGAACAAAAAAAAGGGGCACACGTGGTGCAGCTGTGTGTGTCACTGATAGTCTTGCCACAGGTAAAGTGAAATCTATTTGTTTAATATGATAAAACAACAAAATGTTGTTAATGGTGACAACATCTATTCGTCTTCCCTCCACTAGATGTTAAATAATAACGAATCAAAATGTGTGTATAATTCAGCTCATAGTAAAATTCTTTCTGGAGCATACCACATTAAACCCTGGACGCGTGGATCAATATCAGTATCTGGGCAAATGCCCACCTACACCTCCACTAACCCAACATTAACCTTAACTTGTTGTCAATTAACTGTTGTTGAGTTAGGGGAGGGGTAGGTGATGTAATCTTGCGAAGCGATGATTCTTACCATCGTCTGAGCATGCTCCAATCAAGCTCACCACGTTCGGATGATTTCCGACAGAAGCCATGATGTTAAGCTCGTTGAACAAATCTCGTAACTCTAGTTCAGTTCCGTGTTCTGGCGGAATAAAAAAGTTAACCCTTTAACTACCGTGAGTGACCAAGACAGAATTTCTCCTCACAGTGCCAATATAATATCAAGCAGACAAAAAGTAAGAAAAAAAGAGAAACATCAATTAGCTGATCCAATATCAAATTCTCAGAACTAACATCATAGGAATTGTATGACAGATAGTAAGGAGAATTGCTGATGAGATCTTGGGAGAGAAGGGTTTATTTTAGTATGGGGAGTTCGACATCAAAATAGCTTTGAAACGAATTTCTCTTCAGCAAGTTTGAGGAGAAACAATCCAGACTTTACTGTTTTTGTTTTTGCGTAAATAGAAAAGCATTTTCATTAAAAATGTGTAAAAAATTATTTCACATCAGCTTACATGCTGCCATTTTTTTTGTTCACGCAGTAGTCAAAGTCATATATTTACAAAAAGCCTTATATTGTAGACGTAACCTTATATAAAGAACTTACTTTTTAACATCTTTACAGCGCATTCAATTACTTTATTGTTTCGCATTAGGAATCCTTTCTTTACGACACCAAAAGCCCCAGCGCCAAGTTCGTCCCCAATCTTGAGGTAATCCCGTGGGATTTCAGGCCAATTTCGATGGAAGTTCTCTGGAACTTGAGCCAACTGGAGGTGTTGTGCATTCAACTCGTAAGGGTTTGTGTCACCAGCAGGACCGTAGGTTCTTCTCCCTTGCCTTAGTTGTAACTAAACAAGTTAAAAACATTATTAACAGAGCAGGGACTATAGTGACTATGTCAGACTCATGAAATCAAGGCAAATAAAGGAGTATGACCAAAAGAAAAAAGACACACACACACACAAACAAAGAACGAAAATGACATCCTAGAAGCTTTTTGAGATGTTTCTGTAGAGTTAACGTTTTGAGTTTCCGTAGATTTTACTTCATTGGAAACAGTTGTCCAATTTCATGCAATTAACGAATGTCTCAAACGGCGATGGAAAATCAACCGTCACGTCGAAATAAATTCCTCGTCAAAGGCTTAACACAAGATTTGAAGATATAGACGCAAGGAATACAAGGATTACAGACGTTAAAAATAGAGGCACACAAACCTCATCTAAGGTAAACCTTCTTTCTTCGTCTCGAGGGGGAAATTGACGTTTACGATAAAACACAACAGCAACCACCACCGCGACTAGTACAAGAACTGCTGCAAGTATACCAACGACTATGGCGACAACTTGTGTGCCTGCAAGGCGAGCAAAGCAGTAGAGTCAAAAAAGAATTAAACAGGGCTTTAACTGATCTATGAAATTGTTTCAAGAGGCACCTCAAAAGAGAGACAGTGAAGTATTAATTGCATTTATTGAAAGAAAAATACTCCTGACACTGTGGGAACCCAGTAACTGAGCTAAGAATGTTTCAGAAAGGGGATTAGAAGTGTGGCAGCAGTATGGCTAAGTGTAAGAAAAAAAAAACTCGTATAAGAACGACCACAACAATAACAACAGTAACAACGATTAACAATGTTAAATCAAAAGCTCGATACAAACCCTTAACTACGCACCTTTCTCGGTAGTCATTTCTAATGGCTGCGACAACCCGATTTTTCCACTTTTATCCCTATGTGCCGTAACTCGTACCAGGTACTCGGTATCAGGTTCGAGCTTAGTCAGTTGCGCTTTGGTGAGATCAGCGCCCACAGACATTTCAGTGACATATCCAGTTCCACCTAGAACCTTTTTCATCTGCACAGTGAACCCACTGACTTCGTACACTTCAGGGTGGTGTGGTGGCTGCCACGTGATGGTGGCTTCTTTAGCTTGGATGTCATCAAGTCTCAAGTTTGTCGGGGGTGGCGGAGGTAAATCTGCGGCATAATTAGAAATAGTTTTGTCATTTTATCTGTCTGTTAGACTTCGCAATCCGCGCTGGATTGACGGTTTGCGTGCTGAAGTCTGAGTTGAGAAGTTCGGGTTCAAGTCCCGGCCGTCTTATCGTGTTGTATTATAAGGCAAGACACTTTACTCTTCACCATGCCTCTCTCCACCCAGGAGTATAGATGGGTATCAGCAAACTTTCAAGGAGTCCTGACGGTGGACTGGGGAAGGGAGGGGGGGGGGGCTGTAATGTGTAATGGACTTGCATTCTATCTAGTCTCTTCCCGCAACAGAAACCAGGATAAGTTCCAGGTAGAAGGGCAGTTTCGTCAGGGTGCAGACTTTACTTCTTTGACCTCATCATCAAACTATAAGGGCCGGTTATTTATACAAGGTGTAACCCAAATCCTCAGAGATTCACTATCAGAGGGTTGACTCTGTTCACAAAAATCAATGTTCAGATAAATGGTTCGGTTAAATTGAAGATGGCTTGGAACGCGGTTTTGGTAAACAACAGCTAAAATCTGTTTAAATAACCGGCCCTAGGTGATTTGTGCGAGAGGCGTGAAGAAACTTTGTATTCCATGTTCATGATATCACTGTAAAAAGAGGAAGTAAAAGGCATACCTAAAATAGTGACGCTTTTAATAGGAAGCACACCAAACTTTTTTGAGTCTGCCATCCTCAGGATTCCTTTTTCTATTTCATCTGACGGATCTCCTTCTGTCGTCGTCGCATTGATAAAAAGATTCATAATGACCCTAAAGAACGAAAGCGCAATTAATATTGAGTTGTTTCCATAGGTGCCATGGATGGCGTGGTAAGCGTACTACACTGGCCGAGTTTGAAATTATTGAATAGCAAATCAAAGATAAATTTGATAGTTTAAATTTAGAAGTAACAGTTGAAGGATCTTGTATTGTAATCTTACTGTTGAGAGTAGAAAGGTTTCTTGTCAATGGAATTGATTGACGTATCGACGACCTTAGCCAAATTTATGCTTACCAGACTGACTAAATAATAATGAATTAAGGGGGTAAATGTCTAAACAAATTTTCGTGTCAGGTCAGTGGGGGTAGAACAAGATGATTTGGTTTTATCAACTGAATTGGCCACCATAGAGAGATTTTAAAGCTGACGCTTCGAATTTAAAGTTAGCCTTTCGTCAGAGCGAACCACGGTCCTCTAGTTTTCTATGACAACGGGTTTAACTTAGTAATAAATAATAATAATGATAACCATGATATTAATAATAACAATATTAAAAATAATTATAATAGTGCTCGAAACGTCAGCCTTAAAATCTCTCTACGGTGGTCAAGTTACATTATCAACTCAGTTAATAAAACCAAATTATTTTGACTAATTCAGTCCCTTGCGTCGGTTCGGGCAAAAGAAAATCTTCTAACCCGAACGGCGAGAGTGTATGTAAAAAAAAAGTAGTAAATGTACATTCAATTCACCAAAAATCTCTTGAATACTCACTCAACATCCACTTTCAAAACTGTGCGAATAACTGACACTCTCATATCCTGTAGTTTTGAGGAAAAGTTTCCCACCTACAAGAATATCACATATAAATATTCATCACTTCATTTCAATATAATTTTACCAAATAAGGTCACAAGAACGCGCAAAACATGCGGCGGTATTACACTGTAGAGCAGACCAAAAATCCGGAGCAACAAAATGGCTGCACTGAGCGATCTAAATTTTGAATTTTAATTCGTTTTTTAGGCTCCACTTTTAAAGAAAGGGACTTAAAAGCACGAGAGATTTTTTTCGTTGGTAACTAAGAACACTGTAATGGTTTTGTTCGTGTTGTTTTCGTCTTTCACGTACTCCTTATGCAATCGATACGATGCAGAGATAAGGCCGTACAATGTATTTCGCATACTAAAGAAAAATCAAGACAGTAAAAACTGAAACAATAGTGGAATAATAAATCCCTTATTTGATGGTTTAACATACAATACGAGCTCATTGCTCATATTTTTCCTCGCCCCTACAAGGCTCGGAAAAATAATGGGCAGCTCGCAAAATGTCCATCGAATAAGGTGCTTATTGCAATGTTTACCATCTAGATAAGATCTAACCTCTGATTTAATCTGCTGACCAAGGAAGCTGTTGAGCGTAGCATTGTTTTGGTAATGCTTTCGGACTTCTGAGGTCCATTCCACTTTAATGTCCATTTGTACCGTCTCATAAACTGCCGATAAAGTAATACAAAGCGTGAATATTAGCCCAACATTTAAATAACATGCTCACATGAATCGAAGAAAGCAACCAATTAGGTTTTAGCGAGAAAACCAAACGACGTCAGGATTCAGCAAGTACTGAGCAACTGATAGTTAATGTAGTACCGCTCAGGGTAGTCTGTTAACATAATTTATAGGAAGTGTGAAATGAATTAAAATCTACTGTACGCGCTCTATGGTTGGCTGTTGCCTGTGAACAATCATAAGTCAATGTTTGCAAGATTTCTTTACGGATTAAGCAAGTTACAACCTTACAGAAGAAAAAGAGAGAAAATAAAATAAAGAAGCAGGCGAAAACTTTTTTTGATACTTACATTGAACATAACTGAAAAATACGTGAACTGGAACAAATGCATGTAAAGTTCAGTGTTTTTATGGGTAATTTAGTAGGATCAACCGAATTGATCACGTAAATTGGCCACCGTAAAGAGTTTCGAAGCTGACGCTTCGAGTGTTAGCCCTTCGTCTGAGCAAATGGCGAAGGGCTAACTCTCGAAACGTCTGCTTCGAAACTCTTCACGGAGGCTAATCTACGTTATCAACTCAGTTCATAATACTACATTACCCTGTTATACTCTTCCACCGACGCAGCACCACAGTCTCCTTAGACACTTACCCCTTTATCAGTGTTTTTATGGTTTTACTTACAATACTTTGTCGAAAAAAACCGATCAGTCCATATTGATGAGTATTTTCAGTTCAGGAAGATGTAGGGACTTCAAAGTACCTTCCACATCCAGAACTTGTCTTCATAATTGTTGGTTTTGTTGTTGTTGTTGTTGTCAAAATGAAGACAGTCAATCCAAATAATTATTGTCTGAAAACGATTATGGGTCATTATCACGTCGACCGCTAACATTCCACAGCCAAGTTGATAATTTATTACTTAAGGTGTTAGTCCTTTAAGATATATATATATATATATATATATATATATATATATATATATATATAAAAACTGTGCTAGAAGTAAACCCCATACCTCCGACCAAAGTTAACGTAACATTGCTTGAGGCTTTTCCCAGACGATTCTCAACCACGCACTTATAAACTCTCTCTTTGTCCAGATCGTCGACGTTTGAGATTTGCAAGTTTCCGTTTTTTACAGTCAGCGTCTGAACTTCTGACCCCATGGGATCATTGATTAAATTCACTGGATTTCCCTGCCTGACATCTTTATTCGCACTAGGGCCATCCACTCTCCAATATAGAGACGGTGTTGGAATCCCTGAGTAGTTGCATTTCAAAGTTACTGGATCGCCACGGCGCACGTACACCTTCTGCGTCTTGGGCGCTATAGAGGGTGCGGCTACGAAGAGAAAATAAGCGAATATTACCAATCAATGGATATTACACAAACGTTATGGATCAATGACCTTACCCACTGTACCTTGGAACTGTGAGTACGTGGGTCGAGAACATAAGTTAGTAATGAAGGTTGATGGCCCCTTTGCCGACTCAGAAGAGACTTAGACTCTGCGTGAGAAGAGTTTCTCGTCGATTGAATAGATGACCTTAGTTTCAATTGCGTTGTTTCATCAAAACAAATAGTTAACACACCAAGTCGGGACTCCACTCGGGATAAGATCTTCCTTTGAAATACGTAACACAATGCGTGTTTCCATTGAGACACTCTGGTACGCTAGTTTACTGACTTAGACCAAAAATTAGTGGGGGACTGGTCATTATGGTCATTATTTGCCGCCGGGGAAAGGGGAGCGGAAGGGTTTGGTTGTATCACAATAAAATTAACCTGATCCCCCTAAGGCTCTGAAGTATACTAACGACCCCCTCCCTCCTTCATTAGCAGTCAATTCTCTATAATCCCCCGCTTTATACTCTATTAGCGACGACTGATTTCCTATCCGCTCGCCCTGAAATAAAACCATGTGATCTCATTTCCCTCCCCCAGAAATGAATAAAAAGGAAAATTATTCTTACCGCAACGAGTGTTATATTGATAAGTGGTAACGTTCCCGGGTGCTGGAGTTGTTATCACTGACCCGTTCTTCAAGATTCCGATCACTTGCACCGTGTATGATTTACAGTAATCCAGAGAAGGAATAATAACAGAACGTGTGCTATTGTCCACAGCTATATTGTTCAGCTCAGCATTTCCCTCTAAAATAATGACTTCATAGCTGGCGATCTTTTCATTGCTAGAGGGAGCATTCCAACTCACATTAACGGCGGTTTCATTTATGAAGTGGGCCGTCAAACCAGGAACCCCTTTAAAATAATAAATCAAATTAATTTAGTGTTTTTGATAAAATGATCCTCACAGATTCGTGGCGAAAGGTCTCATGCATGCTTACGTCAGAATACCAAATTTTCAACTTTAGGCCTCGCTTACATGATGAAGACTAGTGAATTTTAATGAGAGTATTCCCAAAAACACTGAAATCCAAAACACAAACAAGAAACCTCACAAAAAATAACAAGGAAGTGACCAAGATTCAAGAACATTTAATGCAAACGAGGCTTGGAGAACACACTGAGATTAACACTGAGAGGTACCATCAACTCGTTCCTTTTTTTTCCGATGCATCGGAACTCATGGATAAAAATCGCTCGCGCGCACTTTTCATGGAATAATCTCCATTTAACTTATAGACCATATAAGTGAGTGCGCGACTCTTCTAAATGATGGACGAAGATCAGTGATCCAAGAAAACCAAAGTCATTGTGAATCAAAGAACTACTGTCGATGACTAAACATTGGACAATAGGCAACCCAAACTAAACGCTTGGAGTCTGCTTGTTTATTTGTTTCATGGTTGTTGATGTGATTGTTTTGCTTGTTTTTTTCTTATTGTTTTGATCGTAGTTTTTGTGGCTTTTTTCTTTTTGAATATTATTTTCTTGTTGTTTTTGTCTTGTTTTGCTGCTTTTGTCTGACGAAGCGGTGTACTGTACCTTGCGCATTAGTCAGGAAACCAATCTCCAGGAGAAACAGGCAAACGATTCCCGCTATCCGTGACTTCATCTTTGTGAAAGATTACCGCGCTGCACTTTACGTCTGTGTTGAGAAGGAAACACTGGGCGGGTTTAAAACACAATTAATTTCCTAATTAATCTTTAACAATGGTTTCAAATTAAAGTTCGGTAGAAAAAGAGTTGAAATCACAGAACACATAATGAAAGACACGGGGCAATGGGGATGAGTAACTTGTGCAGCCACAGGAAGCCTAAGCCCCAGCTGTGAGATGATCATCTTGCGAAATAACAGTCATGGCGGAATTATAAGAGTTTGTATGGGAATATTTACGACCACTCTAAGGAATAAGCGGGCTTTTCTTATTTCGTAGAAAACCTCAAAATCGAGAACTCGCTGAAATGGGTTCCTTTCAACGTAGTAAGCGGTCAGATAACAAGCGATGTACTGTGGAAGTAAAGTGAGGTATTTTTATTGAGAAATTGACTCATTTTATTATTCCCGGCATAGAGCGGTCGTAAATATTCCCACACAAACTCTTATAATTTCGCCATGACTGGTACTTTGCAAGATGATCATCTCACAGCTGGAGCTCAAGCCGCCTGTGGTGCAGCTAGCGGTTTTGTGCGCGCTTACACTGTACGCAATGAGGCTTGGGACCGAAGATAGTTTTTTTCCTCTTGTGGATTCGCTGCTCATCGCTTTGAGGAAAACCGTGAAGCGTACACAAAACCACCAGCTATGCAAGCAAGTAGGTGGGAAGGTGGGAGGGGAGGGGAGGGGGGACTGGTGTCTTCCTAAAAATAGTGGATATGCATTCATCCTTCCGCATATTTGCTGTACATTCACGAAAACCTTTCCTGATTGATCTCTCTCGCAGTCTCCCTCGCCTGTTACTTTTTGCCTCCAAATTACAAAGACAGTACCATATGGTCTCAGGGACCAGTGAATATTTATGGAAGGATTTTTTTTGTGTCACATTGAATCCCCTGTTTTATAAAATTCTTATTATTCCACCCCCCTCTTTGGCAGATTGGAAGTCAATTTTCTTTAGTCACTCCTTAACCCTTTAACTCCCAAAAGTGATCAACATGGAACTTCTCCTTATGATACCCATACATTGTCCTACCTACAGGCATTGAGAAAACTCTAACTTATCAGGTAGAAGTTGTTATCTTCATTTAACACTGAATTCTCGTAGCTAATTTACAAGGAAACGTTTGGCTGCTAGAGAGGAGAATTAACAATCAGATCTATTTAATACTCGATTGTAGACAGCTGATGCCCCCTCCATCCCACCTGAAAACCATGTGATCCCCCTCAGGTAAATGGCACTAAAGCTCGTTGAGCGAAAAAAAGCAGATGTGAGGGGGCGCCATTGACAGATCCTAAAATAATGTTATCTCGTTGTAGCTCCGCATTTGGGATTAAAAGCAAATGATCAGTCAACCGTAACACAGACATACATATCCATTCTACACGTAGCTTTAGGAGGAAGACAGACTAAATTCATTTCGACCCCCATTTGATTTAGAATCTAAGTAATTCGTCTCTTTGTGGATCGTCTTTCGGTTTAATTCTTTTTTTAAAAAATGTAATTCAAGTTAATTAAGTCCTTCACCGTCATTGTGTTTAAACATTCCGAAGCACGATATTTATAACTTTCGTGATGATGCGCTTCGTCAACTGAAGAGCGATCAACACTTCGAAAAGCGCAGCCTTACGTTAGCTTCGAATCCTATCGCGAAAACCTCGCCGTGAAAGAAAGTCTTGATCACCATCAGAATATACAAAGATTGCTTCGGTTGGTGGATGAGCTATTTGTCAAGCAGCAATATAAGTAAACATTTCAACCACTCGCCAATATTTTAACAACTGCGACGTGTTTGACGGACAACAGTTGGTTACAAGAACGTAAAAGTTGATGACTGACATTGAAATATGAAAGTATTTCTATCTGAAAGTATACAGAGGAATAGAAGATTTAAGACTTGGTGAATTAGCATACCACTTCTGGTGTCAGTGACAGACGCAATTGTCTATCAAAGCTCGATTCTCTTCACTGCGGCGTCAATATCGCAAGACTTTGCTTCTCAATTCGTTTAGTAAAAAGCATGCACAATGTGTAACATTGTTCATAACATCTTACCTGATAGTTAACGTACAGTTGTTCTTGTTACGTGTTTCATTTTGATGCTTCAGCAAAAGTCGACCGATGTAACACTTCAATAACCTTAGCTTCCTGTTCAGCAGCTCGATTAGTACTGGTGTCTAGAATACGTCACACAAGTTCCTGTTTACAACTACCCACATCTTATCTCGTATGCCAAAGAAATACGTTTTTAAAGGAATCGGAAAAATTTCCGCACAGCCCCATACTTAATTATGCATGTACATCTTACTGGTGATACACTGAAAAATAAAGCCCCATATATGGATGTATAATGATGTATAGGGCTGTGCGGAAATTTTGCCAAGGAATCTTTAGGAAATATTATTGTATATGCTATGGATTTCATCGCCGGGAAAATTATACGAGATCTTCCCTGATATTTTTGAGCAGCGGATACTCTCCAAAATGATGGCAACAACATGGCGGAAGCAAAGTCTTATAATAGGACTTTGTGTTTTTTCAATCATAACCACTTTAGTGAACAAGGTTACCGATTTTTGTTGTTTGGAATGTATTTTATATTTGATATAAATTCGATTGTTATCTCAATGTTTCAAGTAAAACGTCAGTGCAACATGCAGTTAGGGCTGGTTATCTTCGCTTTTTCCCTAAAGATTCGTCAACAAAGGATCGTTCACAGAATAAAATCAGCTAAACCGTATTGACACTTTTCCGTCCGTTTGTAATCCGCAGCACGTTTTATCAGACCTGAGGTTTACTTATCCAACAGTTTTTCAAAGGTGAGCCTTAAAAACCCTTATCACGTACATGTCATGTACGTTCTGTACCTTTTAACTCCAAAGAGAGATCAAGTTACAGTTTCTCCCTACGACATTAACACAATATCAAGCAAGCAAGGGATAAGAATAAAGAAAATTATCAACGAGGGGATCAGTAATTGATCCAATACTAAATGATCTAATTATGCCATCAAAATAATTCCAATTTATGTCAGCCAGTAAGGAGAATTACTAATGAGATCTTGGAGTGAAAAGAAACTATCCGAACAGATATTTCTTTGTTGGTTACTTATGACAATCATAACCAGTAACTTCCTGTGGCTGATGATTTCCTTACCCCTGGTATAAATAGTATAAGGAAATTGAAATGATCATCTCACTTAGAAGAGGAAGACTAATTCCAAAAATAATCATTTTCACTGTGAAATAGTCTTGCCTCTGGCCTCTCTTACCCTCCTCTCCAGTGATGTATGATTCACATCATATGTGATTCCTCTGAGAGACAATCAATAATATTACATACTACAAATAAATGCTGTTTGTCTTTTTTTTTTTTTTTAGCTGGCAGACTGGAACTGTTGCCATGGTGCTACTTTCTTTGAATGCTCTGGGATACATTGAAATCACCTTTTTACCTGTCACAAGGTACATCTGAGGAGTTGTAGTTAATTTTGATAATAACTGGTGTTATTTATGTTACTACATTTATATATTCACACATCCCCTTAGCATTTTGGTGTAAAGCTGTGTTTTTTGTACATGCACTTGTAAAATTTGTATTGCTTTCCTTCTTAAATTTATTCTTTATTTCATTATTTCAGCACCACTCTTGCATCATGGCTGCCTGCTTCAGTGCTGTATAGTGGAATAATTTATTCAGGATCAGTTGCTCTGTCAAGACTGGTCAGTGATCAAAGTGTTTATCAGAAATAAATGAGATGATCACATACTGATCTGTCAATAACAAATATTGAACTGATCCTCTCAAATAATTATGAACTGATCAGATTCCTCTTAACAAAATTTAGAAGCCTTAAAAGATTTCCCCCTAAAACTTTTTTTTTATTTCAGCCAGTCTTGACCCTATCCCTAGTCTCTAACTTAAAATTTATCTAGTATTTGGGAAGCTTAGTTTGCACTTCAGTGAGGCTGATGCTGTGTCAGGCTTTGTTTTGTACAATTTCTTTCTTACCTGTCACCTGTGTAGGTGTCAGTTCACAGGAACTTCCCTTCCCATGACTTGTTTCTTCTGCTGTCAGTGTTAAATGGGAGTCTTAACCCTTTAACCCCTAAGAGTGAGTGGCATCTAATTTCTCCTTACCATATCACCCCAAGTAGCTGATCACTGACTAAAGAAGCTCTTGGTTGTTGACAAATTCTCCATGTTAGCACTTTAGGAAATGTCCAGAGAACAGTATGGAGAATATGCATACTGATGTTAGGGTCCTAAGGGTTGAAAGAAGACACCTTGATAGTTAATGGTTACATGTATACACTCGATTGCAAAAACGTTGACACGCAACAAGCGTTTATAACGAACAATGAGACTCAGCAAAGAGCTATCCAAACTTTCCTGGAAGAAAATGTTTTATCATGAGAAAAGATTTTCCATGAATAACGAGAGAAGTAAATCACTGATTGTGTATCTGTGCGAGCATTTCCCATAAAGGTGATGGGTCTTGTCGTTCGTGAATCAAGCTTATTAGGTGTCAACGTTTTTGCAATCGAGTGTATCTGAAAAGTTTCCTATGTAGACATTTTTGTGGTAAAACATGGGAAACTTTCTTTTTTCCCTATCTGTCTTTTCCTAAAACAGCCAGTTCCAGTTTTCTGTGCCATGTGTTACTTACAGACATTGTTGGTGGCGTTATTAGAATCATTCATATTTAAAAAGGTGAGTGATTGAACTATTATATTGTATGTGCACACCAATGTACAATGCAGCTCTTGTTTTAAGTCAGAAGCAACATTGTTCATCAATTTATTATTAAGTAATGGTAACTGTTAGTGATTGCTAAGAGAGCAACTTGTTGCAAGCCAATCCCAACCAACTTGCCAGCTATTTTCACTATAATAGCTCTCCAACAGTTACCTAAAGTGAAATACATATGGATGTTAACATTGAAGCTAATGATCACTTCACACATGAATGTTCATAGATATATGACATTCCATGTAAAAAAGTTGGTTGATGAAATTCCCTCTTGACAGGTGAACCAAATACTTTTTTTGTATACAATAAGTATTTTAGACTTTAAAGAGGAAATTTGTTGATCAAAATCAAAACCTTTCTTTCTGCAGGAGCCATCAACAAATTCACAATTCAGGTGGGGTTATGATCATAATTTGTCTTTCAGGACTTCATTGACCCACTTTTCAAACAGATCCATACAATAATACATTGCTTCTGTCTCAAATATTTTATTGCGTTTTTTGAAATATTTATCCTGAAAATGTAAAAGCCTCAACATTCCCCCCTTCTTGGGGAACCCTGGCATATTTGACCTTTGTCCATGCACAGGGTTGAGGAATATGAACCTTGTCTGGCTGGGATGGAGAATTTAAACATAGAGCGGAATGCAAGTGATTTACAGTTAAATATGGAGTTGCATAATAGTAAATAGTTTACTATTGTAAATAATTTTTACCTTGAGGCTGGAATTTCAACAAATAAATCTTCTTTAGTTCAAATGCTATTAGGGGGGTTGCCAGGGGATTAAGACTTTGATAAAAATTCAGCTGTTTCTAAAATGGATTTTATTTCCTTTACAGTTTGATATTTACAGCTATTGCAACAGTATCTGTCGCAGGAACTGATGTGCAGGTAATTTTGTATACCTGAGTGTATTTTCTTATTTCCCTTGTAAATATGTATATAAAAACATTAATTAGTTACATGTGTATAACTTAAATGTTTGTGTGTCCTAGACAAGGGTTTATTCATTCATTGTATTTCACTTCATGTTAGTTTGATCAGATGGGATACAAATGGCTTATGATTCATTCTGGACTTTCAGGCAAGTATTGCTGAGAAATTTAGGTTTATAATGGGTACTAGAAAGCTGTTGGAAAACCCTGATGAAATGGCAGAGGATGGGGGTGTGAGTAACCTGCAATGGACTGGCATAATCCAAGTGGGAGTAGCAGTACTCTAAGTTACCTCATGCCACTGAAACTGGAATAAGCCCTGGCTAGATGGACCCTTAAACTCCCAAGGTCTCATTAGTGATTCTCCTTGCTGTCTCTATACAGTTCTTGTGATGTTAGTTTGGAGAATCTGGTATTGGATCAAATAATTATCCCCAGGTTGATAGTTTTCTATATTTTCATTGCTTGTCTGCTTGATATTGTATTGATATTGTAAAGAGAAATTCTGTATTGGGAGTTAAAGGTTAACTTAAGGGCAGGCTTTTCCATTTTCCAACATTTTTACATTGAAGTTTTGTGGAGATTAATCCTTTTTTATTTAGGATGTGTGTTTCAAATTATTGATTTGGTTGAAACAAGGGTCTGTATTTTTTTCCATGTAGTCAGTGAATATATCTAGTTTGTTTTCATAGATTCATTTAGTATAGCCAATTTCCAAGTTTGTAAGATATTAAGAGTATTCTATTAACTTACCAGATGGTTTTGTAATTTATATAAATAATAATAAAATTACAACTGTCTTGTTAGGTGACCATTTCATGTCTCTGTCTTTCATTCCAGCCATTTATGTATATTATGGAAAATCCCAAAATAAGAATTCATTAAATGACTTGGATAAATTATTCTACAATGCTGTTGTGAGGTTTGTCTAATTATTGTCTTTTGCTGATTGTTTTTCTCTATGCAGTGAAAATCTTGATTCTTATTAATAAGTTTCATTGATGCTTTTGATGCTTTTGTTCTTTGTCATTATTTTGGCTCCTGTTTCTTTTGTCTTGTTCTTCCTAATTTTTCTTTGATCTGTGAAAATGATTGACAGTTTCTACAGTCTAAGGCAACTTTTCCAGTGTATCATGGTCTCTTTATGTTGTCATGTTCTACATTTGTGACTGGTAATGAACTTTCATTAGCATCTCTATCTCTGCAGATCAAAATCAAGTATCTGATGATTTTAAGGAAATAAAGCTTCTACAGTAATTATGCACCTTGAGTTTGGTGTTGTTGTCACTTTTCTTGTTATTGTTGATGTTGTGTCTTGGGCTAGTATTCAATTGAGATATATTATTTAATTAATACTTTTCTTTTGTGTTTTTTTCACAGTGTAATTGTTTTGATGGGAATCAGTGTTTTAACAGGTAAGAAGAGAAACTCTTTTTGAATATAACTTTGGGCAAACCATTCAAATCCATTGGGGTAGTAGCCTGGCAAAGGGCTTATGCTCAAAACATCAGCTTTGAAACTCTTTATGATGGCAAATTTACAATATCAACTCTTTCATAATGTAAATTACACTGCTGTATTTTCCCACTGACGCAACATTACAGTTTCTTAAGAAACTTACCCCGAAAGATTCAAAGCATTGGTTAGAGGGAGCTTAATTATTGGGGGAGTGGACTTCTCACACTAGCTCCCCATTTTTTATTGGTTCAAAACCAAGGGACCTTGATGCTCATTTCCTGACACTAATGAGAGCATTCTCACAGGCTTTCCAGGTATATACATGCTAAATGTCACATACCTACTACACTTTTTTGGATGGTGGAATCGTCTTTTGTCTGGCCTCACTTTGAAACCTATAGACAAGTTTGACGTAATGCTAAATGTGATATCTTCATTTATACTTCTCTGGGTGGAGTTCTGTAGATTTCTGTAGATGATACTTGTGTCCTGCAGCCTTTGTGGTTCCTTGCCTCCACATTTCACCATAACCCTCTGCATGTAGCCAGTGCATCCCTCTGTCAATTGATTGATTATAGAGCTGTTCCCAAGTAACACAATAAAATAGATTGTTCAGAACACCCAGAAAACAATGATGACAAGGATATTATAGAAACATGAGGTAAGCTTATGGGTTTTTTTAAATTTTAGTTGACTTTGTTTTGTTTTGTTTGTTTTGTGCAGGTGAACTTTACAAAATAATTGAGTTTCCTTTCCTATATTCCACACACTTTCACCTTGGGTGCATGGGAAGGTAAGCAGTCTTTTGTATAGAGTCCCTAAATGCAATGCAGGTAGTTGTAGCTACAGTGTTGATCATCAGACTATATTATCAAAATCTAAGTGAAAGCTGATACTCTTTAACCCTTTAACTCCCAAGATCTCATTAGTAATTCTCTTTACTGTCTGCTATATAGTTCTTGCGATGTTAGTTTGGAGAATTTGGTATTGGATTAACTAATAATCCTTAACTTAATATATATTTTTTCATTCTCATCACTTGTCTGCTTGATATTGTATTGATATTGTAAGGAGATATTCTGTTTTGGTCACTCATGAGAGTTAGAGGGTTAAAGTGTCACTTTTGAAACAAAATAACTGTTGCAGCTCTCCTCTTCGTCTATTTTATTTCAGTGGTATATTTGGAGCAGCACTTGGGCTGATAAGAGTGTCTCTGTTAGATACAGAAGTTTCCTATTCATTGGGAATAATTGATAGCCTTAATAAGGTCAGTAGTACAATTTAGATTCCAATACCTAGGCATTCTTTACTTAGTCCTGGTTTAGCGTCTGAGCCAAAAAAATTATTGTGAGCGTGATGATAGAGGTAAACAGAAAACAGGAAGATAAACTGTTTTTAATGATTTTTCGGATAAACTTCAAATAACGATCTAGGGAGGTAGAGGGAAAAAAGTCTTCATTTTGTTCGCGTGAGTGCAAATATTTTGACTTCAGAGCAGAAGTGGCTTGAAGTTTTTGTTCGTGACCTCTTTGCTTTTCATGCACCAACAGGAAAATCCAAGCAGCGTCACGAATTTTGTATTACTTCGGTACAAGGGTTGGTTATCGTTTGAGGAATAACTGAAAGTATTTTCAGAATCTTTTGGGTTTCGCCACTTGCCACTCTTCTCTGTGGACTTGGAACTAAGTATACTGATCCAAGTTAAGCGGATACATCCCTCCCCCTCCCCCAATACGATTAATTCTGCTCCTCACCCCTTCCTTCTAGAAAACGCCTATGAATAATTTGTTAAAAGAAATTTGTCAATAAAATTTGAAAATTCAACCCCCATCCCCCGCCCCTCCTCCCAGACAACCTGCATGGGCATTTGAACTTTTGAAGGCTGGTCTGTGCAATTCTTGCCCCAACCTCTCCAGGAGCTGGATGTGATGTTCATTTTTTTTGTAATAGGCAAACTCAGAAATCATGGCTTTCTACGCACGGACCAATCCTTAAAACCTAGACCTTGTAGACCTTTTCTTCTGCCGAGCCATTCGCTCACGAAGGTGAATTTATACCTTTAATCACCTCCTTATTTAAAGATAAAACACTTGTATCCCGCTGGGAAGACTTAACACTTCCGGTTCAAATTCTCCACCCCAGCTGGGCAAGGTTTAAATTCCCCACCCCACGGGTAAAGATAATAGTCAAATGCCCGTAGATCGCCCGGGGGGTGGATGTTGAACCTTCAGAATTGATCGGTGCACGATTGTTTCGTTGAAACAATTGATCGATGATAGTTAGGACTTGGATAACTCTACTACTCCACAGGTTGCCATATCGTTTCTGTCACTGTTTATTTTCGATGTCACCCTTGACAGTAACATGGCTGTGAGGTAAAATGGATGATTCCTTTTCATTTTTGTTTATGTATTTTTTCTGATCTAGTGTTTATCATTAATTAGTAAAGCCGTGTCGCTAAGGAAGTGTTTTGAGATTAGGACTAGTGTAAACAGGTTTTAAAGCTCGTCTTTGAGACGCAGCTGGTTGAACTTATGTATTAAATCCTTACAACGGTACCTGTGAGTGACATGTTCATGGCTTCGGTTCACGCCACGTTTTGCAGGAACAGGAAGTACGCTTTGACGTTTTTACCACAGGAACCAAACGAGAGTATTGTAATTTAATTTCAAAAGGAACACTTTTTTTCATAACAAAGCCGAACGACATTCGGCAAAAAAATGCTGGCCTCAGTGATCTCGAGTTAAAACGTTTTTTTTAAGTGCTTGTAGGCAACGAATGCCTCTTTCTCTAATTTTTCCGCCTAGACGTAATTTTTTCAAAAACAGAACTTTTAAAATTACAACCATACTGATAAAATAGATGGCATCCTGCAAAAAAGATAAAGGTCCTCGTAATTTTAAGCGTTTGTGCACCACAGTATGTCCTTGAAAGGTAGCACAATGCAAGCACGGTACAATATGAGGCACAGCGCAATATGGACCACAGTGCCATATATCGCAATAACAGTAGAATAACCCCGAGTAGATCGGTCTGGTCAGTCAACTCTGCCGGAAAGATGATTGACTGCGTCAAGATGTGAAAGTCTCTCGCATGATGTTTATCGCATTGATTCTGAGATATTATAATAACAAGAAATTTTTTATGGTATTTTTCGTTCCCAGCATCATCGCAGTCCTTTGTAGTGGAGTACTTTATTCGTACACAGTCACTGTTCAGGAAGAAGCCGAACAACGCACTGCTCATCCAGTCCGTGACAGTTAACAGTTAACTGTCAGCAGCAGTTGACACAAGGATATGAATTGAGTTTTTTATTAAATGTATGTTAAATTCTCAATGACTTGAAATGTGCCAAGCCAAGCCGTAGAGGCGTCATCTGTGTCCCACATATTACCTTAAAATGTAGGCAGCTAACCAACTTGAAGGAGTCAGTTTTTCTTTTTCTCTTAGTATCTGATTTTACCGCGTGTAGGTCACGGCCTTTTTGGGATTGCGTTGCGTTGCACAAAGAAATGGTGTCGACTGCGTTAAACGCTTGAAGATTGCGATCATTATATAAGTTAGCAAATGCCGATTCGTAACGTGTGATCTTAGTAAAAAGGTAAATGGATATGTTAAGGGGAGAAGTCTGATGGATACTGACACTGACTCTCTGTTTGTTTCATGGATAATTTACATATTTTTCTAGATCTTTTATTCACATTTAGGAATATCAGTAGCTGGCAATCAAGAGGATTGCCGCTGTCGCTGTTGTGTTTAAATAAAATTTAATCTGTTATTGAGGAAAATTCATTCGTCCAACGTGCTACGGATTGTTTTTTTGTTATGTTTCTGGGATGGTTTGATCAGCGGAAGGTCTAGCTAGCTTCTCCGATAAAATTAGAAAACATTGTTTCGAAAAACATATGGTCTCATCTGGGCAGAGTAATACTCCAATTAACTTCCTGTGGTATAATTTAGAGAAATGTATATTCTACTGGAAGTTATTTGAACACTGTTGGTAAGAAGGTACATTTGGATTAATATGCAATTATTCTCAAGTTCATAAAAATACGTTCTGACTAGTTGGAGTGGTATTAACATTTGAAAGTTTTCAATGCGTGTTAATCTGTAAAAAATTGCGTTGTAATTGAAGAAGTAAGTTCTATAGATATATTAGAATTTTCTCTTTTTATTCCCTACGCAACAGCTCCATTGAACAACTGCGTCAAACTGTCAAAGCTAGCATTACAATGTCCGAGATGTTTTAAATTTAAACACTTCCTACATATGGTCACCATTGTGGAGTAAAATTTGGTTTCTGAATTGAAATCAACATAAAAAGTTACTGATCACTACCATATGTGCAAAATACATCAACGTACAAATGTTTATGCGTTGGGTTCACCAACAAGTAAAAAACACAGAACGAAATTGCAAGAATCCGTAAACGGAAACGTGGCAGAAACATGTTAAACCGTTCCGGAAACACGACGGATAACTTGTGCTTCCGTTACACGTCAACGTTCGTTGCACTAAATGTTTGGTAATTGCGTTGGGTTAATCTGTAAAAATTTGCGTTGTATTGAGAAGAACGTTTTATAAAGATATATTATTGTTTTTTCTTTTTATTCGACGCAACAGAGCGTCACGTGTACTATGAGTTCGTTGCACTACCAGTTGTTTCTTTTCTTCTGCTTCTATACTGCTGTTCAGGCTCCATACAGAGAAGGCGATATTATGTTGGGTGGACTTTTCAACGTGCACCAGCCGGCAGACCAGCCAGGGAGCCAATGCGGAGAGATAAATTTGAGAGGACTTGGTCGCATGCAGGCCATGATCTTCGCAATCGAACGAATAAACAACGACACAAGTCTTCTTTCTAACATTTCCCTAGGATATGACATAAGGGATTACTGTGGAAACCTCTCAAAAGCTGCAGGACTTGTTTACAAACTTTTCACTGTTGATTCTTGCGTCAATTTAAGCCAAAATGCTACAAGAAAGAAAGCCATCATTTCGTTAATAGGCCCAACCGAATCTAACACAGCGCTATTCATCAGTGGATTTCTTCGAATGCTCAATGTTTCGAGCATAAGTGGATCAGCTACTAGTGCTGAACTTAGCTCCCTTACCTATGACCATTTCTTTCGAACAGTGCCTTCGGATACTTTTCTTGCAAAGGCGATGGTTGACTTGGTTACACACTTCAATTGGAGTTATGTTGCTGTCGTTGGAGTAGATGATTCGTATGGACGAAATGGAGCATGGGCAGTTGTTAGCGAAAGTAGGTCAAGAAAAAACTCGTTCTGTATTGCTTTGACGGAGTTTGTACGCCACGAAAGTCTGAATCTAAGTATTTCGAACATAGTTAGAAAGCTTAAACAGATGGACAATGTCAAAGTTGTGATCTTATGGTTATACAAAATTTACTTAACAAAGTTTTTGGCAGAGATTCAAAGGCAAAACCTGACTGGACGTGTGTGGATTTTGAGCGATGCTCCTTCAACTTCCACACAGCTAGTAGAAGGTATTCTCGAGAGCTCTTTAGGATTCGCATTCCATGCATTCAGCGACTCTGGCTTTAAGGAACATTTAAAAGATATATTGGTCAAGCTGGGAGACAATAAAAGTTTTCACGAAAGGAGCTTCAGTACAAGCGAAATATGGAAGCGTTTGAAGAACAAGAAGTGTGTTCATCGCCAAATTGAGCAGTGCTCTAACGACTTGATTATGGAAAGCTACAGCTATTATGTTCCGTGCATCATCGACGCCGTATATGCCACGGCACATGCACTAGATATTTTCAGTCGAAATTTTAGCTTTAGCGAGACCAAAGATCGGCTGAAATTGCAGATAGCCCGTAGTTCTGACGTGCAGAAGCTTCTTGGCAGAGTAAATTTTGACGGACTAACTGGAAAAATCAAGTTCGATCGATTTGGTGACAGGGGTTGGGCGTATTACGACATTTTCAGCTTTAAAAAAGTACCCAATGGAGATGTCGAGAGCGTAAAAATGGTGCTGATAGGAGAATGGAAAAATTCAAAGAGGAACAAAACTCGCTTGATTTTTCATGAAGCCCTGAATTGGACGACTGCTTCTGGTCGCCCTCCGAAATCTGACTGCTCGGAACAGTGTCCTCCAGGAACAAGGAAATCTTTTACCTCTCCTTGTTGTTGGCAGTGCCTTCCGTGTCTTGGTGGAACCATCAGCCCATCTACTGGTTCTAAAAGCTGCAGTGAATGCCCCATCGGAACAATGTCTAACCAGGCTAAGACAGAGTGTGTCGCTTTACCCTCCACCAACATAAGCTATACGAATATAACCGGAATTGTGATTCTAACGTTTGGCAGCCTCGGAGTAGTTGTCACATTGTTTTGTCTGGCTGCCCTCTGCAAATTCTGGAATAGTCCCATCGTCAAGGCATCTAATAGGGAGCTTAGCCTTTCCCTTTTACTTACAATTCTTGCATTATTCTCTCTGGTATATATTGATGTCTTTAAAACCACAAATACAATTTGCATGATCATATACCCGTTACGTTATTTGACCTATAACATCTGTCTCTCCACATTATTGGTAAAGGTGTTGCTTATTTCCTGTGCTTTTCGGGTTCCCATTATGACCAGTTTGGAATTCACTTCTCTTCCAAACAAAGCACAGGTTGGGATTGTTATAGCATTTCTAGCTCCACTGTTGTCGGCGTTGATGCCATGGTTGCTTTTGGATCCACCCTTCAACTTTCAACATATCTATCCGAAACGTTACACCTTTGACGAATGCAAGGCATACTCCAGCTCAGTTGGAAAGTCTCTATTCCTGGCAACATGCTTTTATATCTTCTTCCAAATGCTGGTGTCCTCTGTCTGTGCTTTTAAGGTTAGAAAGATTCCTGAAAATTTCAGCGAGGCCAAGCGAATCGCCTTTTCCCTGTACATATTTTTGTTCTCGTTGCTTTGTTATCACCCGGTAGAATTGTCCTTGGATGGATGGTATGTAACGGTTGTGGACTGTGTAACAACTCTGTTGAGCGCGTACGGTTTCCTTTGTTGTCTATTTTTGCCCAAAATGTATATTCTGTTCTTCAGGCAGGAGATGAACGATGCGAATGGCATAAGACAAGAAGTCACTCAGTTCTCGTTTAGTTCAGGTTGTGTCCGCGTAAACCCTGCTTTTGATAGTTCAAATTAGCGAGCTGAATTGTACAATAAGCTTTCTTAAGATCAGTAATTTTGTTCAAGTGTGCCATAGACCTCTAAGTAAATGAAATTTGAATCCAATAATTAGCACTGCATTACAAATATAAGCTTCAAGCCATAAAAACACTCAAAGTTGCCATGGATTGTTTCTTTTTATGTTTTAGGATGGCTTAGGTGTCGGGAATTTTAAATTTGCTTCCTTGATGGCAAGGAAGGAAGCACTATTTAAGAAAACAAAGGGCAACCAAAGCGCGGAATAATAAACTGACATTTTGCATCTTTAATCTTCCCTCATGGTTCTTTGGCATCTGTGCTGGGATTGGACTTTAAGCCTATTCTTTGTTATCCCTATTCATGGGCTCCTTTCCACATATTAGCTCTGCCCTCAAACAAGGCAAAGAGTCCTTTTATATCCTCGTCCATCCATTTCCTTTCCTATTTCGGGACTGGAAGAAAAGAGAATTTGTGACCTGAGGCAAAAGCCGTGTCTTGTTTCTTAGCAGCAAAATTTATTTCCGCAACGTATGCTTCTTGCATTACTAATTAGGGAACACTTTATCTCCGCAATGATGTTTCCAAGTTTAGCCAAGCCTTTGGGCAGATGCTTAGATAATTAAACTGCATGAGACGAGAGCGATCTTCGCTGCTATGAACACTGGCTACTTAAGCAGAAACGAAAATAAAGTCTGAAAAAAAAAAAGGAAAAAAAAGGAAGACTTTATGTGCATGATTTGCGAGGGAGATGAAGGATGCGAATAGCATCAGACAAGAAGTCGCCCAGCACTCGTTTAGTTCATTCAATTTGTGTACGTGTAAACCCTGCTTTTGATAGTTCTAATCAGGAAGCTGAATCTTACAATGAGCTTTTTAAAATAATTTTGTTATTTTGAGTGTATGAAAGACTTTTACATGCACGTAAATAAAAAGTGGAATCTATGGTGGAGGAAAATTCATTTTATTAAATGACACTATCTTGCAAATACATTTGTTACTTGACTTTTGATAAAAATCACCAGGAAATACTAGTATGGATCGTTCCTTGTTATGTTGGCAGGATGGCTTATTTGGTCGGAGGTTTTGCTTCCCCGATGGCTAAGAAAGGAAGCATTGCGGTTGAGGAAGACAAATGACCAGTGTGCGCTGAGTAATGGAGTGACTAATTTGCATTTTTCAAGCCGTTTGTCATTTTTTTTGTGAATATTTAATTATTTTAGCGCAACTTGCCAAAATAGATCAGGCGACTAGTTATTTAAAAACCGAGAAGCCCGTTACGCAACTTACGCAACATACAAGCTAAGAAGTAACTATCTCCTTGTTCAGTAGAGGTCTAGCTAGCTTCTCCGATGGCAAAATATGAAAACATTGTTTCGAAAAACATAAAGTCACATCTGGGCAGAATGATTTCTGATTAACTTCCTGTCTTATAAGTAAGTGAAATATTTATTTATTTTATCGGAAGTTACTTTTACCCTGTTGGTATAGGGTCTTAATGGGGTGATGCTTTACCGCTGACGGTTAAAATTTTGGCAAATTTATGGCTAACAGTTAACACTTTTTCATTGTTTCCACCAGATATATTTTTTACAGTAAACTTTTTTTCGACTAACGGTAAGAATTTGCCAGTTTTTACGCCTGACGGCTAAATTTTTTGGCCGTTTTACGGCTAACGGGTAACCCAATTGAGACCCTCTTGGTAGAAAGGTACGTTTGAATTAATATGCAAATTATTGTCAAGTTCAGAAAGAGACGTTCTACTCAGTTGGAGTGGTATTTGCATTTGAAAATTTTTAAAGCGTGATTATCTGTAAAAAATTGCGTTGTAATAGGCCAGTTTCGAATTGTCTGTGCAAGATAGTCTGGTAACTAATTATCAGCACCAAGCTGAG